AAATAACATGTTTATGCTCTAGATGTCCAAATATCAGAAGTTAAAGAAAATTTACAATTTAAATTTTAAAATAAGAAATTATTTTTCCTTGTTCCGTTTGATAATGTTTTAAAATGTCACGTTGACAGGTTTGTTTGTTGGAAATTTGCGGTAAAAAGACAATGAAAGAAAATTTTGACTTGTATTTCTCTCAAAATCAATTACAATTTGGATTCCGATTACAAAAGAGAGGAGAATGAATTTGATTCTCCCCTTTGTTTAAAACTGGGTTCTTCTAGGTGGCGATGGAGTGCCTCCTTCGATTGATCGCGTCGAACTTGCTCTCCGTTGACGATTCGACCGTCCTACTTCACTGGAACGTGATTTTCTCCTCACGATTTGACGCTGTGGAGAACTTGCGTGGCAAGTTTGAAAATAACTCTTGACGAGTTGATAACTCTGAACGAGTTTTAGAAGAACTCGTAGAGCAAATTTTGAACTCTGATCGAGTTGATAACTCTGAACGAGTTTTAGATCTTGAAAAAGAGTTGATTTGAACCGAAAGTCGGTTATAAGCCAAGGCCGAATAATTTCAAAGGCTTCAATTAAAAGCCTTCCAAAATGATTCAAGAGCTCCTTCAAGTCGTTGATCTCCAAAGCTCTCTGTTGCTGCCAAGTCCCAGATCCAAAATATGCCTTTGTTGATGAGAAAAACCTCGATCCCCTAACTCAATTGAGTTTATGGTATTTATAGGGGATTAAGGGTGGTAACTACCCCCTTAATCCGCTCTTAAGTGGGGCGAAAATCCCTCAAATCGTGGGGGGAAAACAGTTCCTGGAACTGTTCATTGCGTTCTTTGAACGAGTCAAACGCTAAAAAATAGCGTTCAGTGCCCGAACTCTGCGTTTTTAGACTAAAAACGCAGAGTTGGGCCTATTTTGGTGGCTGAACGCACAGTTGGGCCTGTTTAAGAGATTAACTCTGCGTTTTGATGTTGAAAACGCAGAGTTAAGCCTATTTTAGGCTGAAAACGCACAGTTCGTGCTGTTTTTGAGATTAACTCTGCGTTTTGATGTTGAAAACGCAGAGTTAAGCCTGTTTTAGGCTGAAAACGCACAGTTCGTGCTGTTTTAGAGATTAACTCTGCGTTTTGATGTTGAAAACGCGGAGTTGAGCTTGTTCTAGGCTGAAAACGCACAGTTCGTGCTGTTTTAGAGATTAACTCTGCGTTTTGATGTTGAAAACCGCTGGTTCGACCTGTGCGCTTTGACTCTGTAATGCAGAGGCGAACCTTAGACGGGCTTGGCGAGCTTCAGGCTAAGTCCAATGTTCTGACGAAGTCCAGTCTTGCAGACGGACTTCAGAACATAACTTGCTACGAAGAACAGGTCATAACTTTCAAAACGTACGTCGGAGTTGGACGAATTATATATGAAAATCGGCTATCTCGACGAGACGGGGCCATCCGAACCTAGCCAAAGGCTTCGGTTCGCTTCCTCCGTTTCGTCAAATTCCTTACGGTTTGAGAGATATCTGCATTCTAATATGAAGAGACCGTCAATTTGTAGTCTCTTTTGGTAGAGCTTTGCACAGGTCGTCCTCTTGTAATCTTCATCTTCGCTCCTTGAAAATATAAGAGTCGTCAGATTGTAACTCCCGATGTTGATTGTGAAGGCTGTTGAATTGGGTCTTTCATTAGTTGTTGTGAAGGTCGTCAGATTGTAACCTTCTACGTGAAAGTCCTCAAATTGTAGCCTTCTAGAAGTCGTCAGATTATAACTTCCATCATCGATGTTTGATGGGGGACCAACTATCTCTTATGATTTTTAGACAGCCTACAAGGTTTGACGAGATTTTTTTTAAAATTGGGATAAAAACCATCTCTAAACAAATCTTTAAATTTATTATCTTCTACTAATTTAAAAGGAAGATTTTTAAGAATGATAAACCTGATGACGCATTTCCTAGCTCGGGCAGCGTCATAATCCCAAGTACCGAGACTACCAGAAGAGGAGGATTGGGAAATTATAGATTGTCGGATATCACTTTGAGGAGTCTGACCTTTGTTGTGTTTTTCTATATGGCGTTTGAGGTGGTTGGTGCCGCTCTTACGATAAGCTTGGAAAATCCGGCCGCACAACGCACATTTAGCCTTTTAGGTAAGGATCCTACCGTGTTCATCCTTGGTGACGTCTATCTTCTCAAAAAAATTCCACACATCAGATCTCGACCTTTTAGGAGCTCTTGGTGCAGATTCGTCGCCACCGGATTTGGGGTTACCACTGGTAGGATCGGTATTAGGAGAATTCGGGGTTACCACTGGTAGGATCGGTATGAGGAGTAGCTATTGTTATAGGAGGACTCATTTTAATATCGGTAGGAGATAGATTTTGCTCTTCATAATCAGATTCAGAAGCCATTTGATGAAAGGATTAGAAAATATAAGAGATTATAAGATATTATAAGAGAGTATAAGATTGTATAAAAGAGTATTAGAGAGAAGTAGATGAGTTTTGGTGTGAGAAGAAGAAGTGAAAAGCCCCTCTATTTATAGAGAGAGCCTCCTAGGCAAATGACCAAAATACCTCACCAAATAGCCGTTTTTTACCGTTGTAAGGGACAAAACGGTCAAAACGCCAAAATAGTTGTTTTGAACTATCACAAATGTGATCGTTTGGCGAAAACGGTCATCTTTGGCAGGCAAACCCGAGCCGTTGTTTTGCTCTGCAACGCATCCACCCAGAGTGACCGTTGCGGGCGGGCCGGGCCCGATTTTGTTGCCCAGCCAAACTGTTCCGGGCCGGGCGTCAGCAGGGGGACCCAGGTCTGGCCCGGGTTTCCAGGCCAACCCCAGGCCGGGCCGGGTTCCGGGTCGGCCAGTTCCGGGCCGGGTTCCGGGCCGGGCCCGGGCCTCAGGGCTTTTTGGACGGGGCTAGATTTCCACACTCCTATTTTTTTCAACTAGTCCTAGGTATATTTCTCCAATACCCATTGTACCTCAACACAATTCCCAGAACACCCTCCTCCATCTAAACTCAACAAAACAAACCTACATGTAAGACCAAAATCATAGTTCAGGACCATAACAACTCATTACAGAAACATGCATACAACAATCTTAAAGTGATAGAAATTACACGTAATCAGACAAGAAAATCATAAAACAATAGCCTAATTATGGAGACAAGACATAACAACTCATTACAGAAACATGATTGTCTAACCAAACATGAAATTCAAAAAAGACAAATTAATTGTCTAACCAAACAAAACATAATTTGCACAAACATAATTCAGCAAGCTCCGGGTATGTGAACAATGTGAATATAAAACTAATTGAAGCCCTGATTCAACATGCTAATTAACATGCATAAACCTAGTTTGCAAATTGAGCCTAAAAATTAGAGCTAAATTGGGGGTAGACTCTAAATAACCATCAATGCCGGCATCGATGCCGCCATTAATGGTTATCGATGGGGGCATCGATACCGCCATTGATGCCGCCTTGAATTTCAGCCATAAGATTGTAGCAGAACGGAGACATCGATGGGGGCATCGATGGGGCATCAATGCTGGCATCGATGCCGCCATCGATGCTCCTATCAAAATTCTGACTTCACGGTTAGCTTCGCCTCGTCAAGATAGGCGATTTTCATATATTATATTTTAAATTCCGCCTTCCGGATTGGGAGATATCGTCGTTTCTTTACGACTAACCATCTTGAATATAATTTCTCTTTATATTGGATTTTTGATTTTCTCCGGTTTCTATGAAAGGTTACAAAATGAGGAAGTTGGAGTCTTTTGGGCTTTTATTCATTATTTCTACATTAACCTGTAATTAAAAATAAAAATAATTATTAGTGGTATATTTATTCATGTAAAATAGATAATGAGGGTAAAAATTTGTAATAAAAATGTGATTATCAAAGTGTCATTAGCATCTACCCTTAGTGTTCTCTGATTTCCACACTCCTATTTTTTTCAACTAGTCCTAGGTATATTTCTCCAATACCCATTGTACCTCAACACAATTCCCAGAACACCCTCATCCATCTAAACTCAACAAAACAAACCTACATGTAAGACCAAAATCATAGTTCAGGACCATAACAACTCATTACAGAAACATGCATACAACAATCTTAAAGTGATAGAAATTACACGTAATCAGACAAGAAAATCATAAAACAATAGCCTAATTATGGAGACAAGACATAACAACTCATTACAGAAACATGATTGTCTAACCAAACATGAAATTCAAAAAAGACAAATTAATTGTCTAACCAAACAAAACATATTTGGCACAAACATAATTCAGCAAGCTCCGGGTATGTGAACAATGTGAATATAAAACTAATTGAAGCCCTAATTCAACATGCTAATTAACATGCATAAACATAGTTTGCAAATTGAACCTAAAAATTAGAGCTAAATTGGGGGTAGACTCTAAATAACCATCTACATCCAAAACCCTAACACTCTAACAACACACAATAAACCCTTTAAAGATGATTATTGGGGAAAGGAACCAAAGAAAAATCGAGGGAAATAATTACCACCATGATCTTTTGCTTAATGGAGTGGGTTTTTTTACATAACTTCGTCTTCAATCCCGTAAGGATCTTCGTCTTCAATCTCTAGCGACCAAAATTACTAAATTTCAGGTCGGATTTGGGGGTTATTTGGACGGGATCATAATTAGGGTGCAAAAAACCCCCTTTCTTTTTTGTTCCGGGGGAATACAAAGAGACGGGGGAACACACGTTCTTTTTTATATTAATTGAGCGTGGTTATTTTTCCTAATTTCGTACCACAGTTAGTCTTAATCTAACCATGGTTAAGGTTTTTAAATGGAAATAGTAACATAGGGACTAGTATCAATGTACTTATGAAATTTGGGGGACAAATATCAAAATATAAAGATATGGGGGACTGATACAAAATAGGAGTGAATTAAGCGAGTAATATCTGAAATCCCCTAAAATAAAATGCGCTCTTATGGGGCTTGTATAAGACTTCATCTGCACCCAATACCAGCTTTAAAACCCTACCTTTCTTTCTCCTGACTGAAGTTAAACCCAAAATCAGCGAATCCAGGTAAAATTGACGACGATGGAGGAAAAGGTGATTGAGAATGGGAACAATTTTCATGGCGATAAGATTCATAAGAAGAAGATGCCTAAGCTCGAAGAAGAGGAGGAGGTCAGAAATCAAAAGAAGAGGAAGAGGAAGGAGAGGAAGGAGAAGGAGAGAAAGAGGAAGGAGATACCCACCGTGAGCATCGCCGTTGCTGGATCGATCATTGACAATGCTCAATCCCCCGAGCTTGCTACTCGCGTACGTGCTTAGTCTCAAAACCCTCCGTTTTTAGGGTTTTGCTGTTATTTTGCACCTTCATACCCTAGAAAAGTGAGTAAGAGACGAATTTCCTTACCAAATTTTGGTTTCTCTGAGTTTGGAGGTAGTGAGGAACAAAGTTAGAGCTTTAGAGCATCTCTAACCATAAAACCCAAAATAGTATAGTTTTTACACCAAGTTAGTATAGTTTTTACACCAAATCACTGTTCCATCTCCAACCCATTAGAGCATATCCAACCCAAAAACCCAAAATGGTGTAGTTTTTACACCAAGTTAGTGTAGTTTTTACACCAAATCACTATTCCATCTCCAACCATTACACCAAATTTTACACCAAAAAGAATATTCATTTTATTTACAAACTATAAAATGGGATATAGTTGGAATATTTGATTTGTTATAACAAACTATAAGGGCAAACTTGGGAAAAACCAAAATCTCCATATCTACGGTGCTGCGCCAAATCTGGCTCAATACTGTAGCACCTCATCAAAATGGTGCTGAATTTGCAGTCCGGTTGGAGGAAGATTTGGCGCAGTTTTTGCTCCATTTTGGGTTTTTGGAGTTGGGTTGGAGATGCTCTTACACCAAAAAGAATATTCATTTTATTATTCTTATCTTTTAACATTTTTATCTATTTAAAATATTCCTTCTATTGTTGAATTGTATTTTAATAATTATTTTATACTCTAATTTCATTATAATAGTTAATATAAAATAACATATATTATTAATACAAATATAAATAACAAAAGAAAAAAAAAATTTGTTTCTGTATTTCTTCTTATAAAAGACCTTCTATTTCAAGTTTTTACAAAATAATAATAATAATAATAATAATACGCCATTGCTACAGTGTTGCACCATTTCTGGTGCAACACTGTAGCAGCCCGCTATTTTAGCGGGGCCGATGGCGCTCGGTTGGAGTGAGAACCGGACGCTAACTTGGTGTTTTAGCGTCCGGTTGGAGAGGCTCTTAGGGTTATCAAATTGTCAAATCATGTCAATTTGACAACTTTGGGATATCAAATTGTCAGAAGTTTAAAAATGTGAAACTTTGGGTTATTAAAGTCCAAATAAGCCTATCTTAATCCATTCTTTTACGCTGATTTTTTTTAAGACCCGCAAACTTCCAAAATCATTACCAAAACATACACCCGAGCTGATTTTATTTTTAGGATCAAAACCTGTGTTTATATGATATAAAGTATGGTAAACTGCTATAATTGGATCTAAACTGCTATAATATTTATTAAATTAATCTAAACTCAAAAGAGAGTCAAATATTGAATTTGGGTTTAAAATAAATTCATAAATCAAGTTGGGTTTTCTGGGTTTTAAATGATTTTGGGAGTGAACTAATTGGGAAAAAAAGGCGTCAAAATAATTTTTTTTTCTCTTTTTAAAGCCATTCTTTTACATTGATATATTTTTTAAATGCACACACTTTGAAAATCATTTGTACACCAAAACACCTAAGCTAATTTATAAACTCAAAATATGTGTTAATTTTCTATAAAGCATGGTAAACTGCTTTAATTCAATCCGAACTTCTATAATTAGGGTGTTTTGGGTGTATGAATGATTCTGGAAGTGAATTTAACGGTAAGAGAACGGGTTTAATATCAAAACCTTTTTTCTCCAACGCTTTCTGTTACTATTTTTGTTTTCTGATGATTGTTAGGAATTTTGTTTTCATAGCTTGCAGGTCAGATTGCTCGTGCTGCCACCATCTTTCGAATTGATGAGGTTAGTATTATTTATTTGGTTTGGAAAATTGCTGAAATTTCAGTTCTTGGTCAAACTGAAATCGACTCAAAATTTGAATCTTTCTTTATTTTAGTTTGTTGGAGAAGTGCTGAAATTTCAGTGGTGGGTGACATGAAATCATATTTGGTATTGACCTTTTTGCATTATTGAAAAAGTTGCCGAAGATCAGTGTAGGGTAAAACAATCATTTTAACCCAAAACTTGAATTTATTTTCCTGTCTGAAGAATTGAAAAAAGTTACTCGCGAATTTGGCTGCTGGGAAATTGATTTTCTCTATATAGGTGCTTTTATATGATCTACAATGTTGATGTTAAGGTTAATTCTTGGTGATATGTTGAACTTGAACCTTAGTCATACGATCACAGCACTATTTATAGTCTCAAATTATCGATTTTGGACGCC